CGAACGTTTAATAGAGCTATTCAGGAGGACTCGCCTAAAATTCTGTATTATACCTCATCCTTACGCCTTCCATCAGCTTTAGCAAATGATCGCATCATTAAACGATACTTTGTATTCGGTTCTAGAGGGAAGTTGTTGAATCCATTGTAAATCTGAAAAACGATTATGAATTCTAGGAAATTGGTCAATGGAAAAGCTTGGCTTTGCTTTGTCATGGGTGGCAACGAGGAGTTATGAGTGTCGTATGGAGGCCGGAGAACGATTTGACGAATGTGGGAGACCTGGATTGGTCCACCAGCAACAAATACGACTTCTTTTCAGTTCATCATTCGGTGTAACGTCCAGGGCAATTAGCGGACTCAACGAAATCGGAAGGAAACAAATTTGATATAGCAACGACTGCGGCCGACAAGGAACGTCCGATGAGTCTTCGACGACGTCACGGAACCAATACCATTCAACATTCGCAACACATCGCTTCATTCAAGAGAGCCCATCTTTCGGTAGATTGTTCTGGGAAACTATCAAGAAACTCAACAAAGCAACATATTCCCAAACGGTGATGTTACCCGTAATGAAAGGAAACCCCAAAATGGAAGACAGATATCCCTTTTGACAATCGTTAACCACTGTTGGATTCCACAGTCCGTTCCACGACCCCACAAGACACATTTGAAAGCATCAACTATTCCTAACGCCGAAGACAACGTACCTCGCACATGGCGCTCTTCACTGAAGCTGTTCTGTTTTTGTTAAACTTCCCATCAGATGCTTTTATGACCAAATTCTCTCCCTTCACCATTTCCAAGACAAATTTGGAATTTGATACCGAGGCTTCAATAATTTAGTCTAAGTAGTCTCGGCAAAGCGCTGAAGCCACGATCTTAGCTCATCGAAGGTATCCTAGTTTTGGAAGACTCAAACAGCAGCCAAGTTCTAATACTCTGTAAGAATCGAAGAGGGGCAGAACAAGAGGCAGAGCCACTGGAAGAATGAAGATACTTGGCATAACTGTAGAATCCTTAGAATCCAAAACTCAGGCTGAGGCTAAGTTGTGCCTATGCTCACAAACTATAATCCTACCATTGAACAAGAATACCATGAAATGCGCTGAGAAGCCCAGAAACAAACAAAAACAACTCAAAAAACCAGAGTAACTGAGTTTTCCGGTGTTCATCCTGCTCTCCATGCCAAGTCACACGCAATCACATGAATCAACATCTCGAAAATGAAGTAACGCCTATGAAAGGGTCGAATCGCGGCCTAATGATTGACTTACAATAAAAGCAAGCAGAGTTCCTACGCGAGTTATAGAGGCGTTATGAGTTATTGAGAGTGGGTGGTCGCGACTCGAGAAGCTATGTAAAGCTGAGGCTTATGAAGAGATTTCGGCGCAAAAAATCTGCCGGATAAAAACATCGAGAACTGCATTAGGTCTGCCAGAGGCAGATGGAAGACATGCGAACGGTCAAAAATCTCTTAGATTTTTCAAACTAAAAAATTGCTGGCCCTTCTTAAAACCAGCAGAAAATAACAGACGGAAGGAATTTAGCAGATTATGAACGGCCTCTGAGCAGAAGACGATATTCGAGCCTCTGAATAATTCCCCGAGAAAGAACCATAGGCCTAATCAATCAGTTCTTGAGCGCTTACAGGTGTGACTTCAGTTTGGAAGCTTGAAAAATTGGTTTAAAGACTAATGCCCACTATGAAAGGCAACGTCAATGCCCAAGTTGGCGGAATCGCTTGAAATTTAGCCGATTTGTAGTGGCGTGGGAGGCACTTAAGGCACTGAAAAATGACAAATGACAGCGGATTGACAGCCGTTGTCACAAGTCGGCAGCTAGCTGTATGAATGACAGAAACTTGAAACGAAGTGATGATTCTCTGAACACATAGTCCTCGGCCGTTATGGCATTTCCGACGCGACTTTTCAATCACATCAAAACGCCCCTTCGATTGAAATCAAGTACGTGAAGTCATTAACTAGAAGAGGCCGTGAAAAAAAGTTGAGTGCAATAAAAACAAACCTTGTCATCACCGACAACGAACTGCCTATTTTCGGAATACATCCTTCTCATTTCATCGGCTTCAATTCGAGCTGCAACGTAGGCTGCCATAGGGATTTCGGTACGACGCGTTCTGATGGTATGGTTGGGCTCTTTGGTTCGATCATGATTTGCTGATTTCTTCACCTTAAAAAAATTGGATGTAAATTTGAAGGGAAAAAGGGCCAATGCCCACACAGCCTTCATATGGGCCTAACGGAAAATCCGACCTTTTTCGTTGGTGAAACGGTGAGCTGTTTTCCAAGAGCTTTTCGCCGAGCAATCGTGGCCGCTTCCAACTCTGCTGAGCCCATATTCACTACATCATCCTAAAGGAGAGATTCGAATAAAAATTCACAAAAAAAANAAAATCCAACCTTTTTCGTTGGTGAAACGGTGAGCTGTTTTCCGAGAGCCTTTCGACGGGCAATCGTGGCCGCTTCCAACTCAGCTGAGCCCATATTCACTACATCATCCTACAAAGGAGAGATTCGAATAAAAATTCAGAAAAATTCTTTTTGAATCTAAGATTTGAAAAATGACCTTGGAAAAATTGCCAGGAACAATAATCAACCAGTAGTGGGAGATCGGTCCATATTCCTCGGACGCCGGCCTTAGTCGGACCACAACTTGACCTGGTCGACTACCAATTCCATTCGAGATCACTTCGTCCAACTCCGGAGGGAAAACGAATGGCGGTCCAGTGGGATCGGTGACAATCACGACCTTCAATAATTTTCCTAATGGCCTCTGAGAGCAGAAGGGATTAAGAAGAAACGCACTTCTTTCGGCCAATATTGGCGAGCACCAGGCGGAAGGGTTCGAACACCTACATGGAACGTATACTGCATATAAGGACGCAAGTTGGTCCACCTAAACGAGCAACATTAGGTTGTCTGAGAAACTTTATGAGCTCATAAAAAACCTACAGATATTCCCGACTACTCTCATCCAATTCGTGTTTGAATCCGGGAGTAGTCATACTTTTCATCGCTAGCGTATGATCAAAGTATTCCTTCTTTCCCGTGTGATTCAAGTAGAATCCCACATGTACTGGGCCATTGTAATCCCATCTAGAACAATAGAGAGATTTGTGATGAGAGAGTGAAAGCACTCTACGTAAATATCTGCCTCGTAGTGCAACCACTAACTTCAGCTTAACCGAATTACTCGTTTTCCATTCCACCACGAGATTCTGTACCATATACGTGGGCGTGAGCCTTTCGAGTAGTGTAGGTGGATCCGAACATGCTCCTTGACGCTGAAACCAAATCTAGTAAATAAAAAAATAAAATGAAATAGAATAAATTCACACTCTACAAAATGTCAATCAGTAAGAGATCGATGTACAAAGCTTTGTTTATTAGTGGAGACGCATTTTAAAGAATTAATTACTTTTCTGGGAAGTGATAGATTTCCACAAAAAGTCAATGCGCCACAAAAAGGTAAGAATCAAAAGCCACATGTAACGTGCTGTATTGGATGAAGAAGCTACACTATGCTGCTTATGCTTCGGATTAAACCCAGACTCTAGGAATCAGCCACCCAAAATTCCCTTTCCCTTTTTGGATGGTTTGAAAAATCCGCTCAGTTTATAAACATAACTGGGACAGAAACCTGGATGTTTAAATAGGTCTAAAAGTCACCCATTCAAAAAAACCATCACAAACAGTAATGTAAAAACGCAGCCACCAACGTCCCACTTTTTACAGAATGTAGGAGACATTTAATTTCCACTCATTTTCATTTTCATTTCATTTTCATTTTCATTGATTCAATTGAATTAATACCCATTTTGCCTATTGAGTCGGGCGATTGAGCCAGCGAACGGCCAACAGGCCTAATTTCAGTAACCTGACAGAAGATATTATCTAAGAAAGTTCAGTATATTCGGTTGATCGATATGCACCAATTAGATATTTCGAGGTTCACTTCAATCTATCCTTTAAGGAATACAAAAAAATTCTTTCCCTCCAACAACAACCCCAAATTCGACCTCCTGTACTTAGTCTAAATAAGGGAGGACTGCCAAGTTAGGGAGAAATCCGTCATTCAGCGAAGCTGCGTACTGTAAAACCTTAAAGTTGTTCGAAACACCTCAAAACACCTAATTCAATAACCCTCAGTCACCGCGGTGGGCTGACGACTTCTACGCATTTCATCTGCGACTTTACTTCTAGTTCAAGTTCAAGTACCAATAATAATCTAAATCCGCGCCCCATGCCTCCATTAGCATGATGAATCAAAAATTCTGAAGCCACGACATAAGGGCATGGCTCATTACTACTGAATCAAAAATTCTGAAGTATGAGGGAAGTTCTAGTTTTGGACTAATTGCAAGTACGTAAGTAGCATAAACCACAGAATACCAGCAACTTTCAGTATTCTCGCATTCCAGGGCACAGAGCCAAAAAATTTTGCTCATGTTTCGGTTGGATAACTTTTAGCCTCAACATAGGATTGCTTGTTAGAGCGAACTCGTCCAGTCACTTGGGATGCTATGCAAAATGTCTTAATATAATGTCTCTTCAAAAGTGCATATATACCACGTCAGCGAAACGCGATTATACCTCGAATGGCAGCAAATTCTCGGAAAAGTTTAACCCCCATCCGGATAGCCACATAAAAACAGAAAAGTAGCACAGATTGCGCTCAAATCTCACATTATTTTTGATGGCCAGAACACAAAATGCGTAGGGCTTGTGAGCCGTCAGGTTGGGAACTTCGAGATGTCGAGACGTTGGGCTCATCACTGTTCGGGCAGTCCATCTTTCAGTATCTGAGCGGCCTCCCGGCTCATGCATGTACTTTACAACAAATCCATCAACCTGAAAACTAATCTTTCGAGCGAGTTCGGGGCGTAGAAACAAACTTTTCGTTGAGGAACGAGTTGAACGGGGTAAAAGTTGGTGCTTTATGGCAGAAAGCCAAAAAAACAAAACAAAAAGTAGCACTAGAAATCATGAAATAGGACCGTACCTGCCCATTTTCAAAGTCCCATTGTACAACGGCCGAACTGTTTGATGTAGCTTCCACGCGGACATTTGTAGGGGGACCAACGAGAGCTGAAAAGTAGTGGAATGAGGTTTTTGTAATGTATGTTTCCAAAGCTTGTCAAATTGAACTCTAAAATTATTGCCTGGTCCCAAAAGTGAATTGATAACAGCCGATAAAATCCCTTCACGGCTGGATATTGGTGTTCGATGAATAGGAGATGACACCGAATGAGCCCTGCTAGTTTTCTTCTTTTGCTTCATAAATGAAGCGACATCGTTGCGAATAGAAAGGTCACTGTCAGTACTCGTTACGGCCTCAATTCGTTCGTCTCCTTCGCCAATAGGCACATTATCCCGCATAAAGTCGCCTTCGAAAAACGGTAACAGCTGTCGAGAACGAGTTCTAGTGGACTTCGTGACATTCCGGATAATAGGAGTGCTAGATGAGGTCTTCACTGGCAATGGAGCGGCACTGCCAAGTACGTCCGTTAATGCTTTCAGTAAGCTCACTAATAACAAAGGTAGATGCATGTCTCAGACGATGCTCATGGTATACTGAGCGTAGATAGACGATATGGATGGGGAGCAGACATATATACCAATGAACAAGAGCTAAGCACCAGTCTCAATAGCTCGGGTAATAGCTGGCTGAGCGGAAACCACGTAAAGGTACTCGGCGCTGCTAAAACTGAAATAGCTACCTCAACGAGGTCGGTTGGCAACCTGAGCTGCACCCATTAAGCTAGGTAGAATGCATAATATTGACTTTCGGCATGCTTCAAATGATGACATCCATCAAGGTGGACATGACGGGCATCAAGGACATCGCGCCCGACTACTAGACGTTTTGAGTGCTTATGAGCCATGCATCAACCTTCGAATTACTAGGTCTCAAACTAGTAGAGGGAGCGAGAAAAGAAAAATCAAAAGCCTACTTGATATCTTTGAAAGGAACCAAGCGGTAGACGAAAAGGGCAAGGTGACGTCAATAATCATAGGACGTTCAGTAGAAGTAGTTGATGGTAGAATGTTGTGCGAATTATTGTTATGTGGCAGTGAAATTCCCCTCATAATGGGGATATCTAGAGGACCAGGTGCTTTGTTGACAATCGCATCAAATACGTCGGCGCTGGAGATAGCGCTCTCCGCCGTTGACATTGTCGGGAAGTCGTTGTTGCTGCTGGCCGAAGTGACTTCCTCCAAAAGGATCGTGGAGTGCGCTGAAGCAAGCGACTTTTCTAAATTGCAATTTACGAGCCACTAATGAGAGTTGGACAAACACACACACGCCACCCATTGAACCACGATAACGGGTAATGAGCGCGTGCACGCCTTCGCTCTCAAAAGCCTAGGAAACGTGCCTTGTGAAGAGGCTGCTGAGCTAAGTCGGCTGCTCCGGAGCTTCTGAAAACGCTGCTTCTGCTGTTTCTGCTTTTCGATCAACGACTGCGGGCGAGCCCGGTTTTGGCGTCGCGATCTTTTCAGTGACAGAGAATATGCGGTCATGAACAGTGACGACAAGAAGCGGAAGTCAGAAGGCAGTAATGATCAGAGTCCTTCCATCAGTAAAATGACACTCGATTTCGCGTCATTGTCTATGTAGAAAATGTAAGGCGGGATGGGTGAGCAACGAAAATTAGATGGGAGCCTCAATCTCGTGCAATGGACTCAGAATTAATCCAATTCACTAATGTACGGAGGACACACTGGCAGCAGCAGCAGTAGAAGCAATGCCGAAACCGAGGAGAGCACCGATCGCCCGTTACATGTAAGTGCTATCGGAGTCGGAGTCAGAGTAGGCAGTCAGCAGTCACTACCCTCGAAAAAAACAAGGGGCACAGATTAGAAAAGGAAGGAGTCGTCAAGTGAAGCACATTTGAGAAGTAGTGCAATCACATTTTCAATGCACAATTCAACCTATCCGGGCGGATAAGCCCATATATGCATCAATTAGAGAAGAAGCTGTTCAAATATGAGGGTGAAACGTGCTGGCGAGCACATTACGCAGAGGAGCCTGGGAAAAAACCCAGCCCAAAGGGCAATCAACATAAAAGGGAGAGGGAGCACTAATGAAGTCCTTTGGTGTATTAGGAGCTCACCTGACATGAAGCTGCATATTTTGTTGGTAACATTGTCGAATTTGGACCAAGCTTGCTTTACACCATCTGTATTCGAAACATGATATTTCCAGCCAGATGCAATATAATTCAAGAGTCCTTCGAGATTATTAATAATGCCATCTTTGCATATCACAGGCGATATGTGTCCATCAAGTGGATCTCGGGTTGTCGTGACGTCACCGTCATCAGTTTCGTCCACAACAGCTTCTCCAGACGGGGAACCGTACATGGCCCAATAAGCCGAAAGATTAAACTGTATAGCTGAGCCGCATTGCTCCGACTCTTTTTCTCGGATTTGCTGCTAACGATACTGAATAATGAAAATATGAACACTGGAAATACGGGCTGCAATACCTGGTGAGTGAATGAACGAGTGAATTGAAGCAAACGTAAAAGGAGGAGAGATAATGGCGGCATGACTGCATTCGACTATGAAAAGCCTATTCACGGTATAATGATTGAATATAACTAATAGCAGTCAACTCTCAACACACAGCTAGTCGCCATACCAACACGAACTATTAAAGCCAACCCATAGACACCCCCTACTGGGCGAGGTCCTACTTGAAGAATGAAGTGTTACGAGCAGTGTTAATGGAATAGCTTGCTATGATTAGTGTTTTCGCTTAGGAAATAAAATTTAAAGACTTCAACGAAAACCAAAGAGCAGATTCTTTCAATTAGAACTGAGCTTAAAAAGCAGAACGAGCATGACAATTATGTAATTATCGTGGAGTAGCTTTAAAACTATCCTAATTCAATAAAAGAGATTCTAATGAAAAAAGGGAAAGGGGCCTCTGTGGATCACGTCTACTCAACGAAAACCAGAAAGAACCGGAAGCAAACACAAACATCAAGAGACCAGATTTTCATGGTTCGCTTTTGTAGAGAGAGAACAGCCTGCTGTGTATGAACGAAAAGGGCATCTATGCCGTTTTGACTCTCAACCAGCACTAGAACAAACTGCAAACATCCGTATGGGATCAAATTTCCAATAAAAGGAACATGATATTGAGGGGGGGGGGGGGACCACTTCAATCGCCGGTGTAACGTGCTCTCACTACAGTGAAAGTCCAATCAACTTCACTTGCAGTTTTTTTCTGTTGGTACAGCGCCGAGGTGTTGGCGGCGCTGTTAGGAAGCCCCGAGGCGCAGGTGAGAGACGCGACATTAATCTCGCAAATCAATCCTACTCTCAAAGTATTAGCGGATTCATTGCTAATAGACTCGGCGGTGTGTCATAAGCACTCAGGATATGTTGGTTACTAATGGAGAAGTGTAGAATGGGAGAAAAAAACACCCATACGATCGGATTGAATGGGATGTTTATTGAAACAAATGGGGCAAGTGAGGGATGCTATTAAGAAAACATTGGCGATATCTCGTCACATTGCTATTTAATCAACTAATGCGACAAACACGCGCGTTTAAGGGTGTCTGAGGATGGATGTGACGCATTACTACGGGAATCGTAAACTAAATGCCAAAATTAGCGGTGGTTATGCCATCGCCTCACAGGCAGACAGTAAGGGCGACACAAAAATCTTCGAAGAATGACATCAAAATTGAGGGGCTCTGACTACTCCTACAGGCTGGTGAGACTGGGACTGATCTCTGAACACAACTAGGAGCATGAGCACATCGAAATGAGGGTAAGAGCCAATCAGTGAGCAACAGAGATTAGCATTAATCAAGGGGAAGCATCGCATAAACCTTTCATGAACGAGTAAGTCACTAAAACACATTTGAAAGCCCCGTAAAATCATAGTAAATGCGACAAGCAGTCAATGGCAATAAAATATATGGATGTCCGCGTCCGCGTGTTACTACATACACATATTAGGGTTGACTGCCATAGTGCAAAGTGAACCATTGGAAGAAATGGGAAGAGCTCAGGGACGAATTTAGATTTCTGAATAGCTGCAAGAGTTCATTCGGTAGATGAGCGCCTATGCACTCATACGCATCATGATAATAAGTAGAGGAGCGATGGGAGAGAGGCAGACAGAGCTATTCCTTCAGCTACAAACTGAAACATTAATTCACGGACATGTGGGCAGCCCATTCATTTATCATAAATGCAACTATCAATTAGAATTCCATGTGTGTGGCAATAGGGTTAATGTCACCCAATCCACCTTTGAATGCACTTCAGTGTCAGTGTGTGTATGTGTGACGCCAATGGGAGAGAAAATGTTAACGGCTTAACCTGGGCGGCATTCCAAGAATCAACAAGACATATGTAACAGCGTCGGGTTTTCCATCGATCGACATCGCTACACAAAGTGGCTTTTAGCGATGAAAAAAAAAGTCCACAGAAAGCCTGGCTGGCGACGAATACCACACTATTCTGTGGGGCTACATACATATGTACTCCTCTAATCGCCGCCACTCTACACTTCAAGTCACAAAGGACAACTTTTCAACCTTGTGCTTAGCACCGGCTATGCGCAGTTTCTGTCGAAAACGTCATTGACTTCCGCACGCGGAGGAATGCCATGGAAATTTACGAAGGAACTAGGAGTTGTTGGAAAGGAAAAAGCAATGACGAAAACGACTGGGAAAAATCCCTGAATGACGTCATTCGAGGACCACACATCCTGTCATTATGTGTGTCAATAGTTCACGCCAACATAAATTAACAGAGTCATAAAGCATGTAGTTGAGGGCGAGCCAGAGAGGAGACTCTGCCGAGTTCGCTCGGCCATACCAATGTGATTTGCAATTAAGGCAGCCAACATGGGCAGGCAGGTGGAAAGTCGCGCTCAAGCACCTAGTTTTTCACTTCACTTCATGGGAAGTTAGCTTAATTGCAGCTGAAAAAAACACTGAATTCCTGAAATGTCTGATAACCATTTGAAAGATTTCATGTGGGAAAAAACTAACCAGCAGGATCGGGATTGATGGTGAGCACTGGCGAGAACGGACCAGATCCTTTCATTGTCGCTGCCGCAACTTTAAAGGTGTACGCCTTACGGACGTCCACAGCAAACGTAGCCGAACTTGAGCCGTCTTTCACCTGAAATCCGTAAAATTCAGTACCCAACTTGAATGGTTTGTTGAAATTGATTGGGAAAATTCCCAAGCACTATTGCTCTTTTTCAACGGAATCGAAACACGACTTCTGGGAAACAATTGCAAAATCTGAACCACCACCTGATTCGGCAAAAAAAAAAGACTCCAAAGACTGGAAAGAAAGTAGAGAAACGACAAAACCATGAATTAGAAGGCCTCGCCCTTGATAGTTTGGTATTTGATAGGCGATTTATCAATTATTCACTTAAGTTTATCGACCAGTAAAGGTAACCTGGGTATCCAGGTGATATGAGCCTAAAAAGGCGTCTTTCCTTTCGGAGAACGTCTTTTTACTAGCTAATCATCTAGCACCGAAAAGATCGGACCTCATAAGTTCAGAGATCGGGAAATTGCCACAAGTACTGAAATCAAAATCAATTTCAAAGTTCCATCAAAGTATTCACCACAATGGAAAGGGCTTCTGGAAGAGTAGAGGCATGCCGAGGAAGAGGAGCTACTTTCATGCAAATTTAAAAAGAAGAAAGTTGGACTTCAACAACTCTTTCAAAATCAATGGCGAAAGCAGTCCTCGTCGAAAGCGTCTCTCTCACTCGCAAGCAGTAGACTGACAGACCAACACATTTTCAAAACAAGAACTGAATACTTTAGCAACCAGCCTGACGGCACCCCGAAAAAGCGTAATTAGAACATCCGACCTCAATCTATGATTTCAATTAAAGTCGACTGCAAAGCAGTACTATATTAAAGTTTCCAAGCTAATCAAAAAGGAAATTAAACGCCAACAAAAACAGTATCTCCTTCATCAGCAGACTTCAGAGAGCAAACTAATGCAAACGAGCACAACATTGAAGGGACCATTAGCACAGCGGTTCGGTGGCTAAAACGGAAACAAACAACGACCCCATTACTTTCTCCATAACTCAGATGATGTTCATCGTCATCTAAGCCTCATTCACCCTCACTAGTACGACGCAAAGCTCTACCTTTCGTAAAAGTTACCTAATGGCTATGTACACATTGAAAACCGTGACTAACGTGCCAAACATCTGCATATTAAAAAAAATTCCACACGAAAACCGACACCCCTCGCCATCAGCACGCCCAGATAAGCGTTTCTGGGAGAATCGGAAACACAGGACAAAACCAAATAGTACTGCTAATACACTTTTGGAACACTAAGACAGAACATTGAGTAACACCACTAAGACACAACTATGAGTAACACAACTATGAGTTAAGTCTTGGAGCTCAAAGGTATAGAAACCAAGTCAGCAGTCTGGTGCCATGCAGCATCTTCGCACGGCTCTGCGAATAACTGAAGCACCGAGACCCTCTTCATGATGCCGAAAAAGTGGAACGGGTAAGTGAAAGCCAAATGCTTAAGCTTTTCTCCAAGCCCACGGAGAGGACTACACAACATCCCGTTGGAGCTAGTGCTTCGCTGGGGGGATCCAACCTTCAAAAGAAAGAGCTCCTACATGAAAAATTCTTGTCTTAAGGAGCCGAGTCAAGTGAGACGAGAAGAAGTGAGCAAAGAACCACGACGAGACTTGATTCATATCGAAAATTGATATAAGTGGGCCGAACAGCAGTTTTTCCATATGATGGCAAAAAACGAGAATAATCGAATGATAGATAGACCAATTTTGTGTGAAACGCGGGCCAATTGCCGATGAGGAATGCGTTTTCGAATACCGAGTTCGCCCAACGAAAACGATGTTCCTTCACAAAAACTCAGCATGAAAGCAGAAGAAATCCAATTGATCGGCCAACGACATGCGATGCTTTTGGTCAGAAGCACTACTGCACGAGCATAGATGCAAAAGTACCACGAAGATGGGCTAAAAAATGCATTGACTTTTCTCTCGAAGAGACTCCATAGCGCTCCCACACTGGTAACGAGACGTTCTCTCATAGCAACGACGACAAATTTCAAGCATTAACGAATATCTCATTCATATGATGCTGGATTGTAGCACAAAACATCACCCAGGAAACCGTCTTGTGTTTGAAAAGCATCAGAATTGAAAAGATTTATAGCGATAACAGCTTGCATAAAACGAAGACTATCATTCTACTTGCGATTACGACTAGTTTCCGTTAGAAGTAGGTTATCGGCGAAAGAAAATTAGATGGAGAATAAGGACACCCGCTGGCTGGTGCTCCAAGTCCGAGAATGAGGGCAATTAGGATGATACGCTGTGATGAGACCCGAAAAAAAATGAGAAACTAAAAGATGATGGGGGTGTACCCTCGAAAAAGACCACCACCAAATAAGGCGTGTCATCATTACTCACGATGACGCTATCCAGTAATAATGGAAGTTGCGTGTTACGCATGGCGTCATCTTTTCATTCAAGAAGAGGACTTTTGAGAAGCCCACTAAAAATGATTTGTTGCTGACTGAGGAGCAGCTCTAAAATCCCGTTATTGAATTTCCGAAATGAAAATCGAGAAAATTCGATACGCAGTGAAGCATGAACATGGGAATACCTCGAAGGAAGAATGAAATGATTCCAATGGTATGTGAATCTTGAATTTCACAAAAAGACAAACCTCGTATTGAATACAAACAGTTTTCTTTAATTCAAAAGTGTAGAAAGGATTAAGGACGTTGTCTTGGGGCATTAATCAGTCCCGTCGGGGGATGCACCCACACATTCGAGTTCCATTCAGAATCGTACTGGCATATTGAATGCGTGTGTGGTCTATACAATGACTTGCGGTGGCCAGCTGATGTACAAGTCAATACTTTTATCCTTCCAGACGAGTCTGGTAACAAGGAACCGCCACTGGAATGGAAAGTATCAGTGGCTTAGGCGGATATCGATTCGGGATTCCAACCCGTGACCATGCGTGTGCGAAAATGCGCTACTTGCCACTACACCACCTCCGCCAACCCAGGTGTATAAGACGGGAAAAAGGTCTAGAAGAACAGGTGCTTTCTGGAATCGTAGGAATCTCACCTCTCCACCGAAGCCTGACTAAAAGGTAGCAAATTCGTCATGCATTCCGGCATTTCTTGACAACAAAAATGAATACCAGTAAGGCTGTTCCGAATTTGAATTAGAGAGGTGCATCTGTTAAGGGCAACGTTGCTTTTTGAACTCTTGAACCAATTCCTTACTGCGAATGTACAGCTATATCTGAAGAATGAAGCGTATCTGTACAAAATTACCAATTTATCGTAGGTAGAGGTGGCGCCAAGTAACGCATCACTACATGCATAGTCCCGGGATCGAATACCACCTTAAGTCGATCAATCCCTTCATCTCTTCGAAGCTTAATCCGGCCCTTCCGGAAGATAAAAACACTGGCCTGTACATACGCCAGCCACCGCAAGTCATTGGGTAGGCCACATAAACATTGACACCGCCACTAAAATCCTTATTGAAAATCTATTGCGTAGGCTAATCTTACAAAAGGATCAATCAATGCCAGGAAGACCAAGGACCTATCAAACACTGTTGAACCAGAGCACCTAACAACCTCTTTTCTACACATGACACGAGGTCACTCGCGTTGAAAGCTTAGATTAAAGCAGTTGATAAGTAAATCCGCTTCCGAGAGGAGAGACGAATATCCAGCGTTACTAAAGAAGTATTGTAAGCATTATGGAATGCTCGCCTCTATATTCAGAACTGTGCCTTATCTCGTTACGAGTTTACTTTTTCCTCCAGAGAAGGGAAGCCCGATGAGACGCATGCAAGTTGATTAGGGCATGGATATTGCAGCATAGTTCTACCACTTTGATAGGAAGGCTCAAAAACCATCGCCTCTAGATACTTTAGAAATCAAAGCGCAAAAGGCTACAGAACGATTGATCGCCGGTAATAGTCGCTGTTTACAAACCAGGACACAATGGTTGTTAAAAAAGAAGGGCATACACCAAGGAGAATGCAACGCAAAACGAGCAATACAACCGCTCGGATGATAGACATGTTTTCAATAGACGACTCTATGGGGCAAGTGCACACAGGCTTACGATGAGCCCTAAAACACAGGGGAGTTTTTAACTGAGGCAAGAGCTGCAATATGAATTTAAAACCATCCCATATCCATCTGATGGCCTGTTGTACAACGAGAGCCCCCTCAATATGCATTCAGCGAGGGCAAGCGATACAATCAGTCATCATCAGAGAGGGCCGAAAAGGACAACTTAGAAGTTGCATTTCCTACCGATAAACCCCGCTTCCTTTTCCGTTTTCAGAACACGACGTCTCTGAAAACGCCATGTGATCCTTTTCCGACTGTCACCAGTCACTCTCCAGTCAATCTCTGGTCCGGCTCCATAAAATAATTTCCTATTCGTGATTGATGCAAAACTTTAGGGACGATTTGACTTCTATGATTGACAGATAACAACAAAAAGTACCGCATTCAAATCGCAACCCAAAAACCTTTAGCATTTAGCCTTGAAACTAATCATCTCATAGCACTTTGCGACAGGATAATTGAGAGCATTTCAAAACGATAACGTGAAAAAGTTCACCAACGTCTTTAAGATGTTCACCATCTGACTTTAAGAAGTGGGAAATAAATATTTTTCCCACTCTTCAAAGCCAGATGGCGAATTTCTGATGAGATTCGCGAATTCTCGCCAGTGGATGACGGATCGGTATCTAAAAAACCACACAACCATCACCTCCTCCGCTCAAGACATTCTTTCACGGACTTCAATACTCGTAGCGATAGAAACGAGCTACTGGCAGTCAGTCCCTGCTTACAAATACGTATTCTCCAGAGTCACTTTGAAGTTATTTAAACGAGTACTACGGCCTCTGCAGCCCCCACCATCTGTATGTAGCACTGAAATAGGCGAAGTCTCTACTATGCAAACAGTTGGGATCCCGAAAGAAGAAAATGTCCGGTCAAAGATTAAGTTGTAAAATGCGAACCAGTGACTTTTCCAACTGAAAGTCGTTTCATTCCCTAGGAAATCTCCAATCACTACCGAATTTAACCATATTACGTATTAGTAGCCCCTAGGCCATAAGTGATCGATCTAATTCTAGCAAAAGTTTTAAACGTAAAGTCTAGAGTGCAACTCTGAGCAAACGAAAGAGAAAACACTCCAAATGAAAGCGTTAGCTTCCCACGCAGAGTCTTCGAAATTGGAATGCCATCAATTTCTCACTTTGAAGGAAGCTGCACTGTGGAAAAAAAAGCAATAAGGGCATAGGGCAGAGCAGTATCATAAAAAAAGATTTAGGACTCTGCCTTTCTTTTGCCACAAAAAGGTCGACTTCCTTAGCGATTTCTTGCCAAAATAGTATGAAATGGAGGAACTTTGATCTTTTTCAAAAGTATGTGGCCATTTTCGATCAAATAGTTCTTTCAATTTCAAAAAATCGTTTGATAAAAGGTCAGATGTAAGGAGAGTAAGAACTCTTCAAAAGAAAGTTGTGCATTTGCGGTCAGAAACGCTCGCTAGAAGGTCTTTCTTCATTCTGCAGTCTACTGCCTGAACAGAAAATGGCGAGATTCCCTTACCTCCTTCTCGATGCGTTCCCCATCGGAGTCCATTGGCGTTAATATGGCCTTGTAAGCTGTGATATTGCCATTGCGTCGATCTTCGGCCGGCGGTTCCCACGATATCCTCATCTGAACACGATACTTGTACCAAATGCACATGTCGCATTAATCAAAGACAAGATTTAAGACTAAAAATCACTCGGAAAAGTTCAACCACGAGAAAAGATTCAAAACATCTTAGCCAACCTTTCCAATTTCGAACCGCTTTGGATGCATGATGTTGGTGTTCGTGGGAGCCCAGATGTACGTCTAGGACGAAACGAAAACGAGTGGGAGGGAAAGACGCAAGCGCATTATGCCGGCTTTACTTATGCACGGGTATTGCAGCAGTGAAGCGGCTACGTGCGCACATCTGGCATATATCTCCACTGTCATAAACGTCGAATCGCCGACCGGAAGAAAAACACGGACAAAACCGTCTGCGTTCTACGACGCGGACGCATGCGATTGCGACAATGGGTACAGCTCTTGGCGTCCTATTCCCATGGCTCTAATCAGGAATCGTATCAAAAGCTTTACAAAGAAGGGAATTTCCCATGACTAGACCTAACGGTTTGTGTATATAATGGAAAACGATAACGAAAACAGCCTGGGATCCCACGTCGAAGTCCTACATTTCAATCTCGTCGTACAAAATTTCTCCCGTATTACTCTTTCTCTAAAAATGACGCTTTCGTCTTTCACAAAGCATTTCTACCCACTTCGGAAGCATCTTGGCACAAAGAGGGAGGTGCTACATACCCTTAACTTTGTTCTTTCTTGGCTCAATTTTAACTCCAACTAATATCGAACTTGGCCGTACTCCAAAACCGTATTTCAGTTCTTTGAATGGCAAAACCCTGTCCAGCGAAAACAAGAAGTACGAGGAGAGGTTCAGCAATATTTCAGCTTAGACAAAAGTGGAATCAGCTAAACCGTGTCAATGTCAGGGCCTTGCTCTGCGCCTCCGAAACGGTTTGCCATCAACCAAAAAAGCAACTGTCCTAAGCAGATTAGGCAGCACATCAGAGTATGCTATGCAAATCCTGGATCAATGACAAAAAAGTCCGAAGCGAGGCCAAACTGATCATAACTTTGGGAGTTAGGAGACGGAGTAAGTTACAGCATACAGCGTTTAATATACTCCAGGGGTTACCATCGCTTTAAAAAAAAACTCCATCATCATAAATCCATGTAGGACTCGACAGTGTTCATGGAAACATTTCAAAGAGTACTGTTTCGCAAATTCCACCTAACAGCAAGTGTTACGTGGAGTGTGAACGAACAAAAAAAAGTCACCGCTGCGCTAAATGCATAAGTGCCAACAAATAATACTCTAAGATTCTTGACGATATTATCAGGTAAACGAATCGTAATCCTTCCAGACCCAGAATTGAAAAAAGTATTACGAAGTTTTAAAAACGAACCTTTCCATTCACTATTTCATACTGCACATTAAGTGGTTCGCCATCTGGATTTCCGACTGGTGTTACCAACTGTTCGGTAGCATTCGTACTCAGGCCTTCAACATTTTCGGCGCCCAACAGGATTTCATACACACGTCCCATCACTGTATTAATTACTCTGATAATGACGATGACCGCAAATCTCAAGGGAAAACAAAACCCGAGGTGATCCTAAGGAAGGTTTATACTTACGTAATCCGGTAAGTTCAACGCTGTTCGAAGTACCGTTCACGACTTTCTTCATGTGGTGTTCAGCTCCTTCCGCTTTATACCAGACATTGTACCTGGAAATCATACGATATGACTAGAGCAACGATTTTTGGCAAATATTTAAAAATGCACATTCAAGAAGATGACTTCTCGGTAAACACCAGTAAACATAACGCAACCGTAAATCCAAAATCGAGGTACTGGAAAAGACTATACTCTTCAAGTTCTCAATGACATTCCTAACGCCATATAATAATAGTCTTTCAATTCCTCATTCCATTCAATTCGAAATCGACCACATTTCCACAAACCTACAATCCCATAAGGGCAGGGTCTAGGGATCGGGTGAGAAGGGACAGTGCGCCATGAGCGCCTGGTCATAGATTTACCCCCATCATAGCCATCACAACAGCCCTCACTTCTGAAGAATGCTAATTTCTAATGGCAATCCCACGAAAAAGAAACACATTGTTTACTGTTGAGTGTTCAACACACAAACACAAATGTCCATCCGTTCAGGATCTGAGGGGGAAAAAGAGCGTTCCAGCCTCCCCAAAAATGATCGATCTTCATAATATACCTACTTTTTCTAAGATTGCCCACTTTATTTTTCTCTTGGTGCTTAATACCGAGGCAATATTTTTTCTTCAAACTTGTTTGAACTCTTGCAAAACTGGAATCCATGCACCTGAGTAAGGCTCAGAATTGAAATCACATGAGCTTACCTATCGATAGGACTTTCGAGTGGTGCAAGTTGCGGCCTTTTCCACTCAACACGAGCTCTCAACGGTGCTTCATCTCCCAGTAACACTACCGAAAGAATTTCTGGTTGGCGAGGTGCTAAAAACCTTTTTCCATTAACATGGTCGCTGTAGCGTTCACCCTATCCCGGATATTCAAAAACATACGAATTCCTCCCGTTACTATTCGTTTTGTCTCCGTATATTCGCCATCTCCATTACGGTTGAACGCATTCATTCTGAACGCGTATTCCGTATTCGGCTCCAACTTGTCGATTTCCCAGTAACGTTTCTAAATGTGGTTCACGATCGATTATTCATACGTGTTTCAGGGGGATCTAGCCTCATAAGAAAACCTACCGAAAGGTCATTGATCACGTCGTATTTGGAACGACGTCGATTTACAGGCTCACCATTCAACAGTTTCTCTACATATACATAATAACCACCGAAGTTGCTATGCCCATTCACATGTAAAGGGCGATCCCATGTCAGTTTCACCTGCACAAAGACATAGAATCATGCAAATGACATACGAATATATGAATCTTATTTGAGCTAAAGGTCATACAACGTTTTTATAGGGTACAATCCTTTATGAAGGGCAATCTGTCAAAAGCCATGAAATACGAACCTGGTTCGGAGCAGTGAGAACGACATCAAAGTTCAAAGGAGCAGATGGTACTGAAAAGAATGGTTTAAAGTCATACGGTAAGTAAAAACTAACTGAGGTAACCAGAATTTTCTTTTCAAAAAATAGAAACTTCAGCTTGGTAATCTGTAACCATGGCTCTAATAATATTCTGTAGCGTATATGATTTTGTGTAAATAACCATAAATATATGTCTAAAACTGTTGATGACCTTTTAGAGTTCCATGAACTTCAATTTGAAGTTATAAATCTGCTACGTGCAAGGAACGACTAACAAGTAGAGTACCCAACCAGACCTGAGCTCTAATCTAAGCTGTCCCAAAACAGAGATGACAGAACCAAGTTGGTTCAAAGAACTCGAGAGCCTTGAGTAAACATCCAGGGCTACATCAGACCATTATTCCTTGACGCCTACTTTCTGTTACTCTATAATCTGCACCCACTTCCTTCAGCCAAACGACTGCTACCAAAATTAAGGTCAAGATGCAATGAACTCTCAGCGATGTATCCAAGATGACTGCGCTAAGCACTAAATCGCTACTGGCGCATTATGTGCATGGGAGATCAATCGCCTATCCAAAACCAATTTGCGCTTTCAACAGTCAAAGAGGAAAAGCAAATTCTGATAGTGTCGTGGCAAGCCATTAGCTTCACGTGAATAATTCACAACAGTTAAAGTCAGGATGATCGATTGGATTCATCGAACAATAAAAGATTATTCTCAGACGTTCTAGCCATAAATCTGCTCCGACGCATTGATGCTCTATTCCGCTCGAAAAAAAANTGAACTCTCAGCGATGTATCCAAGATGACTGCGCTCAGCACCAAATCGCTACTGGCGCATTATGTGCATGGGAGATCAATTGCCTATCCAAAACCAATTTGCGCTTTCAACAGTCAAAGAGAAAAAGCACATTCTGATAGCATCGTGACAAGCCATTTGCTTCACGTGAATAATCCACAACAGTTAAAGTCATAATGATCGATTGGATTCATCGAACAATAAGAGATTATTCTCAGACGTTCTAGCCATAAATCTGCTCCGACGCATTGATGCTCTATTCCGCTCGAAAAAAAAACTTCAGCGGAAAAGAACAATGAAATGAGATCTGTGACGGGTTGGTTTTTCTTCATTTAGGCTCACTCTATTCCGCTTGTTTTGGAACGAAATGTTGGAGTAGTCACACTTAACGAGCTATAAATGGAGAACAGGTGATAGTTTCCCTTCCGGTGCACGTAAGCATCATGAATTTGAAGTACACTTATATTAAATTAATAAAAAATCTAAAAAAATAAGAAACCAAAAAAATATTGCGCTTTTTACGAATAATTCTTCTGGTGAGCAAAAAAATGTTTGGGTGGTGTAGGCCACGACGACTCACATAGAAAAAGGATGAATTATTTACACCTTTGCCACTACATAAACAAACCCGGATGGTCTCATCTTCAGCTAGCTGTAAGCTACACTCAAATACATCTATATTTTTATTTTGCTCATATTTAATCGGACTCGACTTGTTTTTCGAACAACAACGCCTTGTTTTGATGCAGTTTCCCTTCAGCATGTAATTAACGCCGGCAAAGATGAAGAGATTTCTTCGTGATCTTACGAATCGTACAAAAGATTCAGAAATTTGATAGAAGCACCATGTACGACATTCAATAAATTAATACATAGCTAATGCGCCATCGTTTGAGCAAGAGCTGCGGAACCAAACCTACTCTACCTGCCCTCGAAAGTCCATCTATGAACACTGTCAACAACGAACACCGATCCGACAACAAATTTTATTTTCATATATCTAGCTTTGACCTAAGAGGAATCAATATCACCGTACAATTTGTATTACGTTAGTAGTTTTCAACCCTACACCTTTTTCAATGGTCCACTCAAGCTTTACAAAATGCAGTTCCACCGTAAACTCAAAAAACTTCACGCTCGTGAGCAACTGTCAGGATGTAAACTACTGGCTCTTTGGATCAAAGAACATTACGGATGGAGAATACCACGTGCTAAAGTAGCCTAGTGGCACGCGATGGGCAAAAAAAGGAGCGCCATTATCTGAGGACAGTCGAGAAAAGCATATTGGCTCATCGGATAGCTCTGAAAGGTGCAGCTAGCTGTCTAGCAAGGGACTTCAATGAAAAATAATTCGCATTTTGTGCACATTCGTTGTATAGTTTGCGATATAGAAGGGAATTTCTATGAGAATTGTGGCAGAAGAACACTATCTCATATGTAGTTGAAGATGAACAGATAAATATGTGAAAATAAAGAATTCATTGAACTTGTTTTGCCTTTCAATTCCCTTTGAGTGAAGTAGCTCTCGGCCACCATCATCCAACCAAAATTTTTACGTTTTTGCTCAATTCGTTTCGTATCTTCCAGCTGGTTGGTTAATCAAAACGATCGTTTTTTCATTGTTTTGCTTCATTTCCAATCAAAGCTCAGCATTACGCGATGTTCTCGTTATTCAACATCAATCACCAAATGCAAGACCTCATTCATCTTGATCCCGTTCCCAATATAAAACCTCTTGAATCCATTTCACTCGGGGTTACCAACGCTTGAAGTAGTGTCCAAAATTCCGATGGAATCGGTAAGATTTTGCAAAAGCTCTTTGTTTTGTAGTCCATTCCCAATTCGCTCCTATTCCTCCGAATTCTCAACCCGTTGGTGTGAATGCTGGGAAGAAAGCAAGGTGTTACGCCATCCTGCACCTTTCCGAGGCACCCTCTGTGGCATGAGCACACCACGATCGATAGGAAGTCGAATGGACACGCATGACATCAAACCAATTTCGGATCTCCATCAACTGCGATAAAACTGCGCAAAACTCCCGAGCGAATTCGTAAGTACGAGTGGTAATGTGTAGTAATCATTGTAAAAGCGAATAACCGCTTGAGCAATTCTGAGCCAGTCCAATCGAACTATATTAGAAACTTTCTTGTCATTAGGAAATTAAAAATGCTAATCAAATCAGAACGAAGCACCCCAGTTTGTATAAAAACTTCTAATCCCCAAAGGTCAAGCATGCAAAAACTGTCAGAGCTACTAGTTAAGGCAGATATTTGCAAACTTGGAGAAACGTTTACATCAGGGACAGTTTATTCATTCGTGGCAGAATATGAGCTTGGGGCTTCATTTCAACCAAAACAAAGAGAATTATTCTAGAATAAGCCAAAAAGTTTGAAAAGTGCTTAGGAAAATCAATTCAGAAGAACTTCGGAATGAATTTTAATTAAGTTTGGCTATGCTGATGAAAGATATAGCACGATATGGTTAGATATAAGCAATCAATATTTAAAAAGTATATTAAATAGCTACTGCTCGGGAATCAATTACAGAGTTGTCCTTCAATACTTGATGGGGAAAACGGGAGTATTAGTTTAGAGAACTCACCTTTTTGCGTTCGTGACGTCGCCGTAGCGTTCCAAACGCTTAAGAGCGCAAGTGAAATTTGAAGAAGTCGGGGTATTAAACCCATTGTGTGAAACGCATTTAAATCACAAGCGACACATCTGTTAAAGATATAAAGCAGCATATTATACACAATACGAAGCAACGGACAGATGGCTATACGAAGAATCGAAGGCTGGAATGCTACATTTGTCCCGAAAATGCGACGGGAATGAGTTTCGGGAGAGGGAGCGCGACGATGCGGGTGCTAAAGGAAAACGGTCTCAAGGGATGACGAGTCAACAAATGATGCTTCGGCTAAATAGATCCCGCCAGACGGACCGGAGCTCATCACCAACCAACATAAATCAACTTAGAGCCACTTATCACATGAAAAACACGAATACTCACACACACAGCATTGATGCAGTGTGGATCGACAAAAGAGAGCGAACTGACTTGCGAGAAATTCTCACCCACAAATGCGCAAAAAGTTCAGCCGAAAAACAAAGCGTAACTTCGGTGTAATGCTAACAAATAACTGAAAAAGAAGAGGAAGAAAAAAAGAAGAAGAGGAATAAGAAGAAGAACTAGAAAAAGATAAAGAAGAAGAAAAAGAAGATGAAGAAGAAGAAGAAGACGGATGGATAATGGTGGCATAAAGCAAATGCACACATTCTTAGTGTCAGAAAAACGCAGCGAGTGGTTATTACTAGCACTTAGTTGCTACCCCATCGCTGGCCACGTTCGATTCAGTTTTATGCAGTTTAGAAGCTTATTACCGCCCTAGTGTAAATAAACAATTAACCAAATAAATAAACAACGGCTACTCTCCAGAAAGAGGCTGCTTTCTCAGTTATTCAGACATTTTCCTTTCCCGATAAATATCCGGTTATCCGGTTTACTATCCGAGCCATTGAAAAAGCCAGAAATATTAAAGCACCTTGCAATTTTTCAGGGAAAAAAGCGACCGTTAAATGACCGCAATGGAAAGGAAAGGGGCCTGAATCTAAAAAGGAATGAAGACTTTTCATATTGAATTTTCACTAGAGAGGCTGGTAATGACATTCAATAACAGAGAACATGACATATGCATTTTCTTAGTGAAAATAGCCTCATCATCAAAAAGGAGAGAAGAAACGGCAAGTCACAGAAAAGTAAGTAAAAAGAGACGTTCCAGGACTCCAACATGCGCAATCTCGAAGCAACAGCGAGAAGGTGGGGTAATGAGAGGAATCTTTGCTCCCGCGACCTTATACTGAGAAATTACTATCAGGAAATTGTTCCCAAGAAACTAATACTCTATACCTATTATGCTAAATCTCATGGTTATTTATCGTACAGCAAAACACAGGAAGAAATCCCCTGTAATCACCAGCTTACCCACGCAATTACTTCTGCCAGCCTGTAGAGTTAAATGACGTCTGGCGCATACGGCTGAAAAGTCTTAAAACCACCTTCTCCCCACCGTTCTTTGACCTCCTAGAGCGATTGAGTGGGTTCACCGTTAAAAAAAACCGAAAAGAGTAACCATGTAGGTATTCCCAATGCTTCCGTATCCATACAGAAGCATTGGGAGTGTTTATTGATTGGAGTCTGACAAAAATCCAGCCCATGGTCAGCACTAGGG